ATTTTGTTCATCGCATTAAAAATTCTCCTGTATTTTGTAGGGTCGAAAAAGAGAAACAAAAATTTCAAGCAGAAGTATACGATTTATTGGCACAAGTGGAGAACGCCCACAAAGACAAGGTATTTTGCAAGATATATCAAATCAATAACACCGTAAAATAGCTTTTTAAACAAAAACCCGTCTCTCACTCATTTTCTTTGTAAATTACGGCAATATGTACAAGTGTGTAAAAATAAGGAAAAAATTCTATTAAATGCATACGCATAATTCGACTATGTGAGCAAGTATGTGAAGATGAGAGAAAAATCTATTATCAAATGGGCTAGTACAATAAAACTGTATGTATACAAGTGTGTAAAGAGCAGGGGAAAATCTGCATTAATTCAACTATGTCGAGTAGGGTAAAAGGGAAAAATATAGTATTAAATGCGTTAGCATAATTCGACTTCTAGAAGGAATTATTTCTGGAAGGAATATATTTCTAGAAAGGTATATATTTCTAGAAAGGTATATATTTCTAGAAGGAATATATTTCTAGAAGGAATATAGTTCTAGAAGGAATATAGTTCTGGAAAGAATATATTTCTAGAAAGGTATATATTTCTAGAAGGAATATAGTTCTAGAAGGAATATATTTCTTGAAGGAATATATTTCTAGAAAGGTATATATTTCTAGAAGGAATATATTTCTAAAAATATATTCCTTCTAGAAAAGAAAGAACAGGGGAAAATCTTCAAATAAAACCTTTAGCCAAACATAGACATTGTTTTTTCTTCATGTCACAAATATGATATAAAAATCCAAAATAACTTGATAATATCTTGACATTCGAAGAAGTTTAGTGGAAATTTAACGATGTTTGTAGGTACAAGCGTTTATAATCTTCATAAAATTATCCAAATTATAAACATTCTAGAAGAAGAAAAAATAAACCCTTCTCTTTATTACCCATTGAAAGCTTCTAGAACTTCCGGTAACAGTTGAGTAAACTATATATTTTCGTTCAATAAACTATATATTTTATATTAGGCAGGTGCTATTAAAGAAAACAAAACTAAGTCTGCAATAATCATTAAAGGAAAGTTATTCAAGGGAGAAGTATCTGTTTATTTTGAAATGTATGGCATAACTCAGCTTTTTCTAAACAAATAGAACAAATAGTATATTCGATCACAAGAACATAATTTTTATGTTTGAAGTATAAATGCATTTAGCCTCGAGTATCAGAAACTTTTTTTTTGTCCGAATACTCTATTAATTATTCAACTTTGATTTGTCTTTACTCATTTTCAAAATAGTGTGCCGATGTCTTGTATTTCTATAACATGGATATTTGATCATTATTAGAGATAACGAATAAAGGTCTTATTAGTTTATTTATTTATTTTTTTATATCCGTTGTTGAACAGCCCACCCAATTTTGGGTTTACAACTATTAACACGTTCACGCCGGGAAAAGTGAAAATACTGGTAGAAGAACTATTTCAATATTAGATAATATTAGGGGAGTTAATCTATTCTCAACAATAACAATTCACCGTGAGGAAATTCTATTATCCATTATGTATCTATTTCAATATTAGATAATATTAGGGAGTAGTTAATCTATTCTCAACAATAACAATTCACTGTAAAGAAATTTATCTCGGCGAAGAAGCAATTCAATATAAAAATTGCATCCGTTAAAAACATTTGGTAGTTATAGATTTTTATTATTCCCGGAAAAAAACTAAAAAATGAAATTTATTGTTACCAGTTTTTACTCTGGTGCGCTGCCAAGATGAGAAAATCTAGCGTGACCCACCGGTTGGTCACCCCGGCGTGAACGTGTTAATGTTCAATGCCGTAGCCTTGTCATTTTGAACCCGATCCAGAACAAGGAAACTCTTGGATCAGTACCCCCCTAGAGTGTTATGGGAACATGGAGAACTTCGGGACTCGATAGATTTAACGTGCATCAGTCACCATTTACTACATGGGGAGTCTTAGGTTGGTGGGGATCGAAACCTTTTGGACATGGCTATCTCGGCCCAGGTCTTGATGGTTTCATCCTATCACTCCAGTTAGTTCTTCTTTTATTTCGTAACCGGTTTTAAACAACATTGCTCATCTCCGTCATTTTTATTTCAACCCAGAAGACAAGGATACACTGTCTAATCCACTTTTGCGTTACATGGAAAACAAAGACTATGTTTAGCCCGAAGGCAAACACCAACACTCTCAGCAGAATCCATCACTGGGATTTGAACCTGGATCCCATAATTGGATGTTCCATCTGTTTGTGTGTAAAAAAAGGAGCTTGTTTATTTTATTTCTGCTAGATTTGGAGATGGGGACAGTATTTACCCATCGATAATAACCTTATCGTATCCCTTCAAAATATCCCTGTAGTTCGTGGAGACCCTATATTAAACAATATACAGGATGATTCTAAAAAGATGGGGAAATTTTTAGGAACTGATAGTACACACCCAGACAAACAATTTTTATCAAAGAATGCAGGGTCGAAAACAAAACGCAAAACCGCTAGAGGGCGTCAAAGTTTATGTTCTTATATGAGGCAAAAACACACAAAGAGCAATGAGGTTAAGTTATAAAAGCAAATTTAATGGCATGTGATTATAATAAGTGTTCAAAACAGTGGCCGTAGCGGCTATGCACGCAGTACAACGGCGAAGAAAAGATAGGCGAACATTCTGAAACATACCGGGCATATCACGAACTTCCCCTGCAGCTGCCGAAAGCTTGGCGACAAGTTCTTCTGCAGATTCAATGGGACTCTCATACATAAGAGCCTTCGTCTGTCCCCACAAAAAGAAATCGAAACATGAAAGATCTGGCGAGCACGGTAGCCAAGCTATAGGATCACCTCGCCCAATCCATTGGTTTGGAAAGGTTACGTCCAGATAGTTTCGCGCTTCTCGTACGTAATAAGCCGTAATGAGCTGGTGCTGCTGGAACTAAATGTATCGTTTGCATCAAACTTTCCAAATGCGCCAGCCCCTTTGCGTTTTGTTTTCGACCATGCATTCTTCGATAAAAATTGTTTGTTTGGGTGTGTACTATCAGTTCCTAAAATTTTCCCCATCTTTTTAGAATCACCCTGTATATTCCATACAATGAGTTTTGTTGTCATTTACATGTTTTCAAATGGTTACCCCATTCCATCGTCTTTATCCATCAAAGTTCGCTTATTTTTTGATTTTTTTTTCTGCATTATATTTTCTTTCATCCTCATGTTATTCCCTCGCATAACTGTAGCGCAAAGGTTGCATCATTTTTTTTTGAGCTTTGCATTGCTGCTAATCAAAACATTTTTGCACATAATTGGGCACTTTAAGAAGAAGGGATACCCAGACATGTGATCTCTCGGATGCATGATAAAAATGTAAAAGGAATTCTCAGTGGGTGATATTATATAGAGTATGGGGAGGCGATTCGTGTATAATAGAAGGAATTTTACTATGTCATCCATTGATCTTGGAAAAATTCCGTCTGAGCATGCGCAATAGCATCGATACCCATGCAGCTATACCAATGTAAAACTTGTTTATCATATTTATCTATATTTCAGGTTTATGAGTTCCCCCCCCCCAGTCATTTATTTAATAATTGTTTTTCAATGAAAAGAAACTTCATACTTTAAATGAACGTCAATTATACCAAAGTTATATTCATTCATAGAAAGTACGTTTTCGTGTCTCTAACTTAAAATACAATTTGTGCATATGAGTTAGCATGCAAAAAGCTCCTTGAGATATAATAAAAATCCGATCATAAGATTAGAAGTTCTTTTGTGTTCGCACTCTATCGATTTCAGAGAATATGCTAGGCCAAAAGAATATTTTGTGAAATTATGATGAACAGATCATTTTTTGGGGAAGCTATTTAGAGGGGAACACGCAATTCTAAGAAAGAGCCCAAAGATGGCGGTTTGAAAACTCAATGAATAGAACTTGTGCTTCAGATACCGGATCCACAAAGATTCTTTGCAATGTCCGTCAAAGGCTGGAAGTAAAAAATTCCCTTTCCTGTACATATTATACACACTATATTTGGAGACTGTGCTCTTGCGTCAGCTATAGGGGGTAACTATATTTATTAGTTTTTAATTGCTGGAAAAAACAGCTGAACATACTTAAATAATGCTATTCTCAATGAAATACAGCTGAAATATTATGGTTAAATATCCCATAGATTACGCTTTGAATGATCACCCTATTTTTGAAAGACGAAAATAAGAAACAAAATTCCCTGCATTTTCCCTGTTATTTTATGTGATTTTTAAATTCTCTGCATTTTCCCTGTTATTTCAGGTGGTTTTTTTTAAAAAAATTCCTGTATTTTCCAGGTTTTCCCTGTGGAGTGGTGGCAACCCTGTGAAAACAACCTCCATTCGCAATGGCAGCGTGGTGCCGTCAAAAACGGAAATTAAAATGATTTTTCTGCAATAAAACCGAAAGCAAAATGTTGTAACTTTTCCTTCAGCAGCGACATCTGTTGACGAACATCACAAATAATTTGGCAAGAATAAATACGTTTCCTAGACAAAGCTGTTTAAATCGTCATTCATCTTAGTATTTTATTTTATAACCGTCGTTGAACAGCCGACTCCAGTGTTATGGGTTTACGACTATTTATGTTCAACTCCGCAGCCTTGTCATTTTGAACCGAATGCAGAAGACAAGGGAACTCCTGGATTGAGTATTGGGAGAAATTTTGCCTTCGTGGAAGACTTTTTGATGGAGCTTACTCGCATTTGCGTTAGATGGAGAGGAAGACCGCGAAAACCTCCCACGGTTAGCTTGACGGCAAGGGGACTCTAACCCATGATCCGTCTACCACGGAGGATATTTCAAGTCAGCATTGGTGGTCGATACAAGCCGGATGCGGAATTCGTATCGACTGGGATTCGAACCCGGTTCGCCTCATTGGAAGGTTCTATTCCCCTGAGGCGTCATTCATCTTAGTAATATGCTAATTCAAAATAGACTGCAAAGAACAAGAATTATTTATTTTCAAGAATTATGGTAGGCAGATTGATACGTCGGTACAGCATACTTTATTTCTGCGTAAGCGTCCGGTCCTCCCGTCCTGTCCAATAGATCCAGCGTCTGGTTGATGACATCCGCCAGGTGGCGCCTTCTCTGACCATAGTGTATCTCCCCTCTCCTGTAGGGTATCTCTTTAGTCTTGTATTTACAGAAGAACGGCACGAGTAACACTCTGTAATGCCTGTAAAGAAAAACAGTGTCAGTCACTCATAATACCCACATACTTTGTTGTTGTTTCTAATGCCACTTGCCACACTAGAAAGCCTACTTTGTGAAACTGAGCAAATTTAAGGCAGAATGCGCGTTTTTTTGTTTTTCAGAGGCGCCATCTATTGCCAAGAATTCGACCCATCTAATTTTATGGAATTGAACTAGATTTTGTATTTGGGATGGGATGGTACAGGGGATAGAGCTCTCTTATCTGCAATGACGGATCAATTCTTGCATTGCAAGAACAACAAGGCTACAGAGCTAGTCATCTAATTCCTCCTTTTACAGGGAGTTAATGGTTGCCTTTTATTGCAGATTTAGAAATGCGTGTCTCTTCAAACGGAATTTCGATTTCAGAATTTGGAAATCGAAAAAAAATATGTATACATAAATTTTCAAATATTAAATGCATTTAAAAGAATTCCGCACATTGCATTATTTTTTTCATTTCATTTCACGACATTCATTTGTTTCTCTTCTGTAGGTTTTGAAAAAAGGGGTGAGAATGAATGTCAGCTGAAGCAATAGGAAATATCGAGAAAAAGGCTATTTCACGCAAAAAGAAACATCACTGCAAGGAATACCGGACAAGAGCACACCTAACAATAGCAATTTACTTTAAAAATCACATCAATATAGGAACTACAGAGCAATAGCCCACCTAAATAAACACCACTTTAAGGAACGAACACTTCACCTTAAAAATAGCCTCAGTTTCCAGGGGTCTGTTTAGAAGAAATTTGGACCCGTTAACGGATCCTTCACAAAATATCTTTTCATAAAAACGGACCCTTCACAAAATATTTTGACTTAAGAACGGACCCTTCATAAAATAATTTATCTTTTAATCGGACCCTTCACAAATTTGTTTATCTTCATTATTGTTTTGTTAATCGAATAAATCCTTCACAGGAAGGGGAGGGGGGGGAGAAAGACAGAAGTAAACAAACTACATTTTGTCTTCGGCAAGCGCTTCTTCCTTTATTCGTTCGAAATTAATATTCTGCGTTTAGCAGTATAGACTAAATACCAATTATTTGCATCGCTACTTTAGTAGCTGCAATTGCTGTTTATTTTTGAAAATTTAATTTTTTTAATTATAATTTTACAGTGTTGAGCATAATAATGTCTTTACAATTTAAAAACTCCTTGAAAAAGTTTTTTTGCAATAACGGACCCTATTTGCACACATTCACAAAAGCGGACCCTGGTTGAAAGAATGGGACTTAACGTTAATTTTATATTCACATATTACGAGTCATTTTTTCACAATTTTACAAAAACAGGACCTTTCATAAAATGTCTGGACAGACCCCTGGTTTCTAAACCTACAAAAAAAAAGATACACAGGGAGACTTCTTGGAATGGAATGTTGGGTTTTGTATTCACACCGAGCACAGTTCTAACGAAAACATATTTCCATTGCTTAGAGTTCCTTGGAAGTCAGGCTGACCGTGGGTGGTTTTTGTGATTTTTTCTCTCCATGTATTGCCCTTGGGGGTAATTCCCAAGTTTGTTCCAAAAACATGATCCAAAATTTTCTTATCAAGAANTCTGCGGGCAGCAGTATAGAATAATTACCAATTATTTGTATGTTGCATCGCTAATTGAGTAGCTGCAATTGCTGTTTATTTTTGAAAATTTAATTCTTTTAACTATAATTTTACAGTGTTGAGCATAATCTTGTATGTCTTTACAATTTAAAAACTCCTTGAAAAAGTTTTGTTGCAATAACGGACCCTATTTGCACACATTCACAAAAGCGGACCCTGGTTGAAAGAATGTGACTTAACGCTTATTTTATATTCACAAATTAAGAGTCATTTTTTCACGATTTTACAAAAACGGACCTTTCATAAAATGTCTGGACAGATCACTGGTTTCTAAACCTACAAAAAAAAATACATCAGAGAGGTTTCTTGGAATGGAATGTTGGGTTTTGTATTCACACCGAGCACAGTTCTAACGAAAAAATATTTCCATTGCTTAGAGTTCCTTGGAAGTCAGGCTGACCGTGGGAGGTTTTTGTGATTTTTTCTCTCCATCTATTGCCCTTGGGGGTAATTCCCAAGTTTGTTCCAAAAACATGATCCAAAATTTTCTTATCAAGAAGAACACCCGTGTCCGGGTCTTTTGGGTGACCAAAAACATTTGACTAGACAGTGCATGACTAGCCTCGGGGTCAAATACCTTCTATGAAATAAACCTTAAGAAAAATAATTTTAAAATTTTCATTTTTCAATGTCCATTCGATTGGGTCAGGATAACCTGGTTGGTAGGGCACTTGCCCCATGTCCACGAATTCGTGGGTAGGATCCCCGCCAGCCGAAGACTCTCCGTGTAGTAAATATCGACTGATGAACGTTAAATCAGTTGGGTCATACAGTCCTCCATGTTCCCATAACAAATCATACCTCTGGGGGTACTGATCCAGGAGTTTCCTTGTCTTCTGGATTGGGTTCAAAATGATCAGGCTACGGAGTAGAACATTAGTAGTAGTCTTAAACCCAAAATTTTGTCGACTGCTCAAAGACGGTTGAAAAAAAAACAATCATTTGATTGATTTCGTTCAAATTTTTTCATTTTGTCAGTTATACATTATTTAAAATTATTATGCATTATTTAAAATTATCTGTTCATAAACCTTTTCTTTTTTTTAATTCGTGATTATTAATTTTTTTTTTAAGAAAGGACAAAACAAAATAGATTTTTTCCAAATTCCTACACACATTATCTTACACGCTTTAAATTTCCTGACCAAAAAAAAAAAAAAAAGAAAAAAAAAAGAGAAGTTAATTTTTGAAAAACTTCAGCGTATAATACAGACGTTAAATAACCTTCTTTTGGCCCAAGACTTGGCCTGAACGTGGAGGCCTGACACGTGGAGGAAAAAAAAAAATCGAAATTTTCCTTAAAGCTTTGCACGAGAATTGCACAACATATCCTTATAAGTGATCACGTGCTGAAACTATAAAGACGACTTTCATTTCAATCTTCCATTATTAGACGATGCTTTGAAAATTTTCATAAAAAAGAAGAAGAAAAAATTTATGCTTATGACGTTTCAAGATTTCACTGTGTTATAAAAAATCCAATATCTCNTCCCTCGGTAAATCCGAGTTCTCGTTAAATCCGAGCTCGTTATAAACGAGTTCTACTGTATATTTATATACTTTTTATAATATTTCCACGCTTTAACCGCGTGAACATCTTTGTCAGCAATTGTCTTGTCTCTGACAATCTTAAAATAAGAAGGAAGAGACCAAATTGTCTTTGACAAAAAATGTTGAAATAAGCAGAAAACTTAATGACTATTAAAATTATTAATTAACGAAAGAAAGCAAGCTAAATATTAACTTTCAAACGGAAATAAAAGCTAATCATTAAAGTAAGCTATGCAATTTATAATTCTAAAAACAAATTAACCAATGATAAATAACAAACAATAAGTTAGCAATTAATAATTAGCAATAAAACTAATTAGAAAGAAATCACAAAAAATAATAATTAATGTAAAAAACTAACATTTAATAACAATAGAAAACAAGCTAACAATTAATAACTAGCCAAAAAAAAATAACTGTTGCTATTTAATAAAAAATTAGTCGAAAGAAATAATCTCTAAATAAATGTGCTTTTACATATTATTTTATTTCACATTCAAAATTATTATCACAAACTATTTAACGCAGTGTATTATAGTTAAGTAAACAAGTTTTAAACTAATTTTTTTCATTGTGTGCCGTCCAATTTCAAAATCGTTAAAAGTGTGCAGCCGCAAAAAAAAAGGTTGAGAATCACTAGTCTAAAGCATAGGTCGCCAAAGTGGTCTACATAGACCCCCAGGGGTCTATTTAGCAAAAGCGGGGGTTGAATGGGGGTCGATCCGCATTGGAAGGGTCGATTGGGGGTCGAAGAAAAAACAGTTCTTAATACGCAAATCTCACATACCTAATTGAGTACCTTTTTTTATAATTGACTTAATATCAGTTTCCTTATAGAACATAAATTAATAAACGTATATTTATTCGGGGGCTCAGCCATTTATGATAGCATTTCCATGTTCCTATATGGTTGAAGCCGGTTTCAGTCACGTAAATTCAATCTTAACTAAGAACAGAAATAAATTAAATGTGGAGTTTTGAGGGGATTTAAAATTAAAATTGACCAATTTTGAACCCAATATAGCAAATCTTGCAAAAACACATCAGGCACACCCATCTCATTGATTAAGAAGCAAAAAATCTGTATTTACTTTACTTATTATTTCTACTTATTTATAATTACTTATTATTCAATAAATAATAAGTAATTACAAATATGTAGAAATAATAAGTAAAGTAACTACATAGGCTTACTGCTGCTTAAGGTATTTAAATTTCAACATTAATATATTTTTCATAAAACTATTGTTACATACTATATTACACATATATTTTTCATAAAACTATTGTACTATAACTTTAATAAATGTTTAAAATCATTAAATATATGTACAAACATAGTATCTAACAGAGTTTTATTTTAATTAACAGAAAATAACTTTTATGGGGGTCTATGGAGATTTCGAAAAATTATATAGGGGTCGATGATCAAAAAAGTTTGGTGACTCATGGTCTAAAGTAAGAGCTCCCCTAAGCCATTCGTCTGAACCCGTGGCGGTAACTATGGTAACGAGTCATAGCTATTTCAAGTAGTGTGGGGGTAACTGTTTGGGATATGTTTATAAAGGGATTCTTCGGTCTAATGTGTTTTGCCGTAGAGTGATGAGAAGCTACCCTCCCTGAAATGCGTTATTCTTATTTCCATAGCAGCAGACGACTTCAGACCTTGTGGCGGAGGCTGTTTTTACCGTAGACTAAATGAATCCTAAAGAAAAAAAACAATCCTTCATTCTAGGGCAGTGTTTCCCAAACTTATGACTTTTGTGTACCTTTTCTAAATTTTTCGTAACGCTGTGTACCACTCATAAAAAAAATGAATGTATTTTTAAAAAAATTTTTTTTTTTTTTATTAACTTATTTCAATTATTAACTGTTAACTCTGTAAAAAATAGCCAATAGAAAAATACGTAATCGTAAATTTTCACGGCAAGCTTTGCTTTTAAATAAAACTTTCATTTGTTGCAAGATATTTCGCCTAAGAACTCGTACCCCTGAATAAATTGTTCCCCTGGGGGTACGCGTACCACACTTTGGGAAACACTGGTCTGAAGTACGAGCTCCTCTAGCCATTCGTCTGGTAACTATGGTAACGAGTCATAGCTATTTAAAGTAGGGGTGTGGGGTCAATGTTTGGGACATGCTTAGAAATGGATTCTTCGGTCTAATGTGTTTTGCCGTAGAGTGATGAGAAGCTACCCTCCCTGAAATGCGCTATTCTTATTTCCATAGCAGCAGACGACTTCAGACTTTGTGGCGGAGGGCGTTCTTACCGTAGACAAACTATAGACTAAATGAATTCTAAAGAAAGAATAATTTTTTATCCCTCATTCTGGGGGGGTTCTCTATTCGATGAAGCTCAAGAGCACCGACGATTGCATCGCAATAATTTCCGTTTCCTGGCATGAAACAGTTGAAATTATTCAACTAAAAAGAATACTTGTGCTTGCATTTCCCACTATCAAATATTTCCCTTGGAAATACTAATAAGATCTATAAGCGAACATAAATCATTTTTCGAAATAACATTTAAAATTAAAAGAATATTGTTATAACAAATTAGCTGAGTTCACAGCTATGATTTCATATTGTTTTGTTTAGCAAATGGACGGATGTATTTCGATTGCATTCATTACTTTGTGCACGAAGTTAAAAAGTTTATTTCTAAATCATTTAATGAATGTCTTTAATCGTCATTCATAATAGTATATTAATGTAATTTGTACCCAAAAAATAATAATTCTTAAACCTTTAATGAGATCAGACAACGATTTAAATAACTTTAACTTACAATGCAACGTATAATTAAGCTAACCGGACAAAAAAATTATTCACCTTAGTGGGTAGGCACAGGTTAATCGTTAGATGACTGAGTGGTCAGGTGACGCGGCTCAACTGCTGCCTGAATGTGATTAAAGGCAAGTAGCCATTAGTGAGATATTTTAATTTTAAACGGAAATTGTGTGTAAATATGAGCAATTCTACAAATAAACGCCAATTAGGCAGCCAAAAAAAAAATTTTTTTTGGCCGCCTAATTGGCGTTTATTTGTAGAATCGCTCATATGGGTAAGTGTAAGGATTTGACAGAGTGGCAAAAAGGAGCAATTGAGTTTAAAATGGCAGTGGTCAAATTGTGAATGAATGTTGCTGGGTTCGTTGGTGTTTGAATGCGGACTGTCCAGCGTGTTTACAAATAGTGGAAGGTGACCTATTCATGGTGGTGGGGTAATGGGTACCAGACCGGGTAGCTGTTTGACAGCTGACAAAGACTGTCAGTCTCAAACCGCCATCACACATCTCCGCTGTGGACACCTGAAATCACTGAGGTACTCTGGAGGAGAAAAGTGCTTACCCTCTGTACCAAGTGCTCTTCGGCCGAGGCATCCCCTGAACATCTACTGGACTGCCTAGGTCTTTTAAAACAAGACCTTATTGAAAGACCCTTACTAGTTTTAGACTTTTTGAAGGTGAACAATCTCATGGACCTTGTCTAGCTAGGCTAGAAATGGGGATTTGAAAGAAGAAGAAGAACAAATAGTGGTGTAATACACGTGGTCATCAAAGACGACGTCCGAATTGCGGTCGCAAAAAGATCCCCCATGAAAGGAGACGTGTTTCACGACTTGACAATCAAACTCGCTTCCAAACCAGACAGGAATTGCTTCAGCTAGCGAATGAAGGTCCACCCCAACCTTTTGGTGAGAGAACATTGAGACGAGAGCTGCATGCCATGAACATTTGGTGACGAACACGTCGCAAGAGACATTGCCCACACAGATTGTAATGTGGTATGACGAATCAAATTTTTGGCTTTATTCAAACGAAGCACGTCATCCAGTGCACCAAAGACCAGATGAAGCATTTCATCCTGACTGCGCGCAAAGTTAGGTTCAAGCTGGAGGTGGGTCTGTCATGTTTTTCTTATTATGGATTGAGGTGGCCACTTACATGAACCAGCATGTTCATTTGAACATTCTTGATCATCAGGTGTTGCCTTTCAGTCAACCTCGTCATGTTGCAGATACCAACGTTTTTCAAAATGACAACAGCGAAGTTCATCGGTCTGAAAGAATATGTGACTAGTTTTATGAACACTCAGACACTCAATTACATCTCGACAGACCTGCAAAGTCACCTGACTTGAACCCCATTGAAATTTTGTGGGACATGTTGGAATAACGGGGCCGAAATCAGCACCCTCGCTATTTGTTGGATTTGCGTGATCAAATAATCCTCAGCGAGTGGCTTAAACTTGATTCGACATACCAGCAAAACATTGTGAATTCCTAACCGAATCCAGGTGGCTATCAAATCAAGAGGTGGTGTTACACGCAATTAAATGTTTTTCATAATTTCTCTAAGGGTGATTAATTTTTTGTCCGGTGTTGCTTACATTATTTCAATAATAATAATAATAATTAAAAAAAACAATCCTCCTAAACGCTTCATTTAGAAATCAAGCAATATCAATAAACGTAATTATAACAGTACAGGTCATTTTAACCTTTAAATGAGAGATACAAAAGCATTTATTGGAAAGCAGTAATTTTAAGACTAATATAAATTCCATGCCGATGAAAACCGAACCAATATGAAAATCAATGCGAGAAAACTGGATCCTACCGTGTGATTTTAAAGCCAATAATTATGCATTGACAACAATGGAAAACTTCGCGATCGCAACGCCATCTCGGAAGAAGACCGGTTCCATGTGATTCACCCTTTCCTCTCCCTTTCTTTTCAGTCGTATACTACCATTTTCCCATTTCTTAATATTTTTCGCATTTACTTCGTATTTTATTTAAAATTTCCAAGACGTTTTCTTTAAGAACTATATTCAGTGTGGTTTTCATTTCCATATAGTTTCCTAACATAAAAGTTTTAAAAATCTACTTAAAAATCAAGAGAGAAACTGACGTACTTCCTTCTTCTATGACTCTCCACGCGCTAATGGTGTAAGCGTGCGAAGTGTTGTCATAGGTAGAGAGTTTTGCTCTACATCACCTGTAGCCCATTTCGATTGCCAGCAGTAAGATATTATAAAATGAAATGTTGTTGACGTATGCCATTTCAGGCAGAGGAGTGGCGCCATCTATGACCAAGAATTCGACTTCTGCCACACCCGTTTATAGGTCGGATCCATTCATATATCCATTCATTCATCCACAGATCGTAATTTTGACCTGAACCAGAGAACGATCAATCTCCAATGGAGGACTTTGAGACTCCACAGATTTAAAGTGCATCAGTCACCATTTACTACACGGGGAGTCTTCGGCAGGCAGGGATCGAACCCACGACCTCTTGGATATGGGCCCAGTGCCCTACCAATCAGGCTATCCCAGCCTTATATAAAATAAAATAATGAATAAAAATAAATTTAAAAAAAAAATCCGTCAGACGGAGATAAATAAAAATCGCATGATTATTTTTGGAATAAAAAAAAAGATCTTTGGTTGTCATGAGTATGTGATGGAGGATGAGGTTACCTGATGAGGGCGAGGCTCACTAGAGGTGATAGGGTGGTCAGCCTCTGAATGACCGCGCATGCGTTCATCATGATTTGAGGATGTTCTGTGTTGAGAGCTTTCTTAATGGCGAGAACGATGTCCGGCAAGACGGTCAAGACCCTCTCTCCGGCCACTTCGAGGAGTTCAATCGTTCCATCTCGGGCGAGGATGTCGAAGGGATAGTGGGGATCGTTCAGAGCATCGCAGAAGATGGGGAGGTAGTGCTCTGCATCCAATTGTTGTCGATCCACCATCCAGCAGATATCATGAGGTTGAGCCTTCCTGTTTGGGGAAAGAGACCAAGTTTGTAGATAGTTTGTCTTAAGTAAGAACTCCCCTAGCCATTTGTCTGGACCCGTGGCGGTGACTATGGCAACGAGATATACTCGTCCCCATATCGAATAACCCGTTTATACGAATAAAATTTAATGGAACCAAATCATTTTATAAGAAACTGTAGCGTATCCTCCACTACAAAACTACATCTACAATTCACTAGTATATAAGACATGTTAATTCTTCATAGATGAAGGTTGACATTGTCGATAACTACTAGCCCCACATGGGTGACCTTCGGACTTGATGTGAACACGCCTACGTTGGCAGAAACGCCCACTCTTCGATATGAACACGCCCACCTAGACAGTAACGCCTACTTCGATGGATGGTCCACATGGAACAGCTACTTGTGACTGTGACATATTATCCACCTCCTCTCACTGTTGCTACTCAGTCTCGTCTCGATCACACACAACGTCAACCTGCCTTCACCCGTCTGCTAAAGGCAGCACAGGAGCAATCACGACCGTGATCTTAATACAGCTCTCATGACTAATGCTCAAAACCCGGTGACCTTAATCCAGTTCTCCCGGTATGTCAAAAATACAGCAACTAGTGGTATCCATGTATCGAATTCTATCACAGCTATAATTCTGGTGGGAGTGTACTGTAGCGTATCTACCACTACAAAATTACAACTACAATTCACTAGTATATAAGACATGTTAACTCTTTATAGATGAAGGTTGACATTGTCGATAACTACTATTCCCACAAAACTAATGTTTAACTTTCCCGTTTAAATGGACATTTGTTGTTTTCTTGTCTCCGCCTAATTGCATAAAGAAGAGATAAAGAAATGAAAAAATTTTTATTTTTGAGAAATGCTTCCCCAGCTAAAATACAATTTCCGTTTTTCAGTTTAGAACAGGATACACTACACTTCAATATTGACTTCCTGTTCATTAAGTGGATCTAAACAAGTTTAATTTTGAAAGTATTTAAAAAGGAATACGCTAATTGTGTACAGGGGTGTCCAACTGGCAGCCCGGGGGCCGCATCCGGCCCGCGGAGCCTTTTTTTGTGGCCTGCGAACTAAAATATATTAGTTGTCACTTTTAGCGGACAATTTTCGTAAAAAATCTATATGGGTTTAAAATACTTTTCTCGTTAATAAAAACCTAATTTCTTCGTTTCTGCGAAATTTATCATACCAACGATGCAAAAAAAATTATTTCTCAGGTTTTGCATCCAAGAAAATATTCATTCAAATACAAAAATAATTGTGTATATTGCTCTTTTTTATTTCATTTTTTTGTATTTTGTGAATTTAATTCAGCATGAGTGTATCAGAAATTTTCTCGATGAAATTCTCCGATTTAACTTTTTGAAACCACTCATTTTGGACGAAAATATTGACACACACATTTGTAAATTTAAAATGTAAATATCTATTCTCTGGTGGTTGCAGCAGACAAACCTCAATTGAACATTTTTGTGTGCAACTATGTAAGTTTTAATACCAACCTTTTTAGAGTTTTATATCTTAACAATTAGATATAAGTTGCACATCAATTGCTTAATACATAGGTGCACATTAAAGTTATTGTAGCCCGAATTTTTTAATATGCAATTAAATATTTTTTAAAATGTACTTCTTATTTTAATTTGTAATTCAATACTTTTGTTTTATGCAACTTGGCAAAAATCTGACAGTAATATTTAATGTTCCTTCAAACATAAAAGAGTCCTACATAAAATTTTGACATAGTTGCGGCCCACCATTTGATTTGTGTTTTTAATTGTGGCCCCCGGCCTCATGAAAGTTGGAAAACCCTGTTATAGTAGAAATAGAAAAGGGAAAATATAGGCGAATGAAACGGGTATAAAAACAGTCTTCAATAATAGATTTTTTTCGGAAGACATCAGATTAGTACGTATATTAAACTTTTTACTAACATTGATTTATTTATTTTTAACGTCACTTTAAATGACATTTATATTTTATGATACTAAGCACAGACAGTTTTAATGACGATTAATCAAAACGCTTATACTATTGATTAAACACCATTAAAAAGTAAATTTTCGCAGAAATTTAGAATTGCACACCAGATTGCTAGGCATGAAGCCGTGAAGAACATAAACTATGGTTCGAAGTTGCCAGGTACACGAAACAAAAATATGTTAAGGCTGCAACAAAATACATAAACAAATAATAAATCTAAGTAAAGTAAAAGACGAGAAAGAATTACATTTTAACAAATTCGATATGGCACAGTTTTTGAAAGTTTATGATGCGTTGTTTATCTTTGATCGCCAAAATGTTTGCAGTTTGTCATGTGATGGTGGATATTTGTTTAACAATCGATGAAGATGTTCCAAAGACACGTGATCACAATTTTGATTCACTGCAGAGGGGATGGCTCCCTCTCTTTGGTGATCTCACTCACACTTTATGGGAGAGAACAGTTTAACGAGGGCAGATACCGTACCCCCTCGGTCCATTCGCCCACAGTGGTTACTCATTCGCTCACTGATAGTAGACGCTAGTACTGGGTCTCTTAGATCAGTCCATTGTGGGAACCCTTCGTATTTGAATATGAGATATCTTCACTTGGCTGATGTCGCGAGATTAAGTAGGAATTTTTTATTGTAAGGACAACATTGCCGATGGGCGTTCTTCGGAAAGTAGCAGAGCTATAATATTATATTCAAAATACTAGCCTGAGCAGTGATGGCACAGGGGATAGAGCGTTCGCCTTCCAATGAGGAGAACCATGTTTGAATTGTAGCAATAGTACGAATTCCGCTCCCAGCTCGCACCAAACACAGCACAGTGCTGTGTTTGGTGACACACATAAATTATCTCCAGGATCAAGTATTTGGAGAAATTATCCTTCGTGGAGAAATTTTTTCATGGAACTAACCCGCATTTACCATACATGGAGAGGAAAACCACGAACACCTCCCACGGTTAGACTGGCGGCTAGGGGACTCTAACAAATGATCCGTCTACCACTGAAGATATTTCGCGTCAGCACTGTGGTCGGTGCAAGCCGGATGCGGAATTCCTATCGACTGGGATTCGAACCCGGTCACTTCATTAGAAGGCGAGCGCTCTATCCCCTGAGCCACCACCACTCAGCATTGTGCAGTCATTGTACTTACAAAAGTTTGGGTAAATAAAACGAAAAACAGTAAAAATTAAAATTGTATTTGTACAAAAGATTTACGCCAATAGATTAAGAGTTTGTGAATGCTTTGTATGAAGTGTTGAGATCTGTTGTCCATTCACATACTATTTTTTATTTGCTTCATTCCACTGTTTTCTACAAAAAGAAAATATATGGTACTTGCCTAACAACCTATCAACGATCTATTTATACTCTCTAATATCGCTGACAAAGCGTTTTCCCAGTAGTTGACGAATCATAGGTTAGAGTGGTCCGGCTGCGGGAGGTCTTCATGGTTTTCTTCCCCATGTACATACAGATCAAATTACTCAGTTATCTATCGAAAGCGATTTTGACCCAGTTTAAAATACAAATAAAACAAGAAAAAAAAATTAAATAGAAGGAAAAAAGATGATTACAAATAAATGTCTTTTTTTAAAAAAAAAAGTAACAAGTTTGAAAAACAAATTTAAAAGCCGGAAAACAGAATGAGGAAAATATATAATCTCGTCGTCAGCTCACACTATTGTAACCGCAAAAAAAGAGTGCTTTCTAACATTGTATTACTATAGCAAAAGAAAAATATAACAATACAATAGGATAAAATATTGTTTATATAATGCAATATTTTGCTTTGTATATTAGTGCTATGATAATACAATGTTAGAAAGCACTCTTTTTTGCGGATATATTCGTGTGAGCTGACCACGAGATTATATATTTTCCATATTTCATTTTAAGGTTTTTTAGTTTTTTTTTATTAAAAACATATGTTCACAATATTTTTTTTTCTTCTCTTTAAAAATATTTTTTTTTTGTATTCTTGGTATTTTTTTAAACTTATTTTATGGGCACTATGTATTTGTAGCGGAATAAATAAAAGTTAATATTTTCGTCGTTCATCTCTCTTTTTCGTCTCTTTATTATGTTACATATTTCCGCGCAGGTGTCAGATTTTTCTTCCCACTTGCATCCGGATAACCGAAAAGTAGGGGGGAGTGGGGTCAATTGTAACAGGGTACGATTGTAACAGAGCAAAAATTTCAAGTGTCGGGTTCTAGATTTGATTCCTAGGTGTCGCACAAGGTGTATTTAATAAATCTACATATACACCTCTGCTGGCAACCATTTTTATGTACTTTTGAAAGAGTTACATCACAAAAGATATTTTCACGCTACCTAAGTACTTTTTTTAGTATTCGAATATTATATTGTAATAAAGTAATTTTGTTTAAACAAATAAAAATTATTAACCGAATATGTAAGTGGACACCTTAATTAACATTTAAAAAAATAGTTTTGTTAATTAACTAGCATTGTTTTTAACAAATGAAGCTGAAATGGCGTTTTGTAACAATAAGTAAAGGGACGATTGTAACAGCTGAAAATAAATAATCTTATGTTTATAAACCATTACTCAACCCCTTAAGAACCACCAATAGTTTCCTATATCATTTATATTATGTTGCACGTGCATTATTTTATTTGTGACCTTTCACAGCATAAATTAAGATTTTTAACCCCTTAAAGTTAAAAGTTTAACCCTTTAGGTCTCTGCTCATTATTATTTTTACTCCTAAATTATCACTACTATTTTGATCAATAAAAAATATATCTCAACTATTATAATATGTATAATTGACAATGTTTTAGTTGAATTTATGAACTGTTACAATTGACCCCGTAAGTGGAGACAATTGTAACAAGTGCACGACTGTCAAAAATTGTTAATAACTAATATAATAACATTTTAAATAAGGTTTTTTTTTCTCGTAGAGGATAGTCTAGTTTACTCGTCTGTCAATTAATACTAACAATATATTGGATTTTTTGTCAGTTCAAAATAGTTAAGCAAAAAATGTTACAATTGACCCCACTCTCCCCTACTCAAAAATATTACAGAATAGTTTTCCGAGGCAAAAAAAATACAAAAATATAGTTTATCCAGTATCGCATGAGAATCGCTAAACTATTATATTGATGGTAGTTCGGTTTCTTTAAATGTGGTACTGCTTGTATTATTTGGATAAAAATATACTTGAGGATGCCCCTTGGCGAAATTGGCAACACATCTTTGGCGCCATTCCTGTTTACGCGAAACACCTGGTAACAGGAATGGCAGCCAAAGCATAATGATATTTCAATAAAACGTAGGAAAATTTCAACAAAACATCAGCCAAAACTTTATAAAATTGCAATGAACCCAATATAAGCAAAATTAATAAGCCTAATAAAATGCATTTTGAATCGAAACAAAAATTAATGGAGTAAGCACAGAAAGAAAAGGGGAAAAAACAACTCATTTCTTCATTAAGCTTGAATATCCTAAAATTTAGGTGCACAGAATTCTCTAATAACAGTTAGATACTGTCTAAATTTATCATGAATAGAATCTGTGTACCTCCATCGCCACATAAATTCGGCGAAATACGAATCGAAAATGGAGCCTGTGGTACCGCACTGGCGGTGACATTTTTTTTCTGAAGTCCCTTTGGGAAAAATATAATTGAGGGTGCCCCTTGGCAAAATTGGCGACTTATGTTTGGCGCTATTCCTGTGATATTTCAATATTTCATACTGTGATACATAGTGATCCTGTGATACACAGTGATATTTCTGTAAAACATTGGAAAATTTCAACAAAAAAAACATCGGTCAAAACATAGTGATATTTCAATAAAACATTGGTCAAAGCATAGTGATATTTCAATAAAACATCGGTCAAAGCATAGTGATATTTCAATAAAACATTGCAAATTTTCAACAAAACATCAGCCAAAACTTGTAATGAACCCAATATAAGCAAAATTAATAAACCCAAGAGGATTTTGAATCGAAGCAAAAATTAATGGAGTAGGCGCAGAAAGAAAAGGAAAAAAAAAACAACTCTTTCATTAAGTTTGAATATTCTCAGATTTAGGTGCACAGAATTATCTGACAACAGTTAGATACTGTCTAAATTTATCATGAATAGAATCTGTGTACCTCCATCGCCACATAAAATCGGCGAAATACGAATCGAAAATTGAGCCTGTGGTATCGGACTGGCGGTGACAATTTTTTTCTAAAGTCCCTTTCTATGACCACATACCTTCGATCTTATTGACCAGAAGCAAAAGTAACCTTACCAGCCGGTATGCGACATTGAACTAACGGGCCTCTGAAATTACATGTACCGTTGAACATTTAAAAAAAAACGGTGAAATCTAAACCAAACAGAATCCCGATTGGGTTTCAACATCGCCCAGCTTGGCGAGAATCAAGGGGCACCCTCAAATATAAGTCTACCCTATTATTTGTGATAGATGTGCGCTTATATCTAATATAATAGGTTGATGAAACGGATGAGAAATTACTTTCTATAATCCAACACCAGTGGAAGCATACCATTCTTGTAAAGACATCTGAACTGAGAATTAAGAGGATTCATGATCTGAGCTGACTTCTGATTATCTAGCTGTCTGATTCAAAACGGTCTGTTTGTAGAAGAGCTCTTTGATTCAGCTTATAGCTCTATATTTCCACTGTTTGTTTTTGGGTTTAGTAAGTACGATGACTCTTCTGCTGCTGAAGACAGCTCAGGGATTTTGAATTAAGATTTGGAACAACATGCTTACTTATTTATATTTGACAAAATAAAAGGAGAGCACAAAAAGAAAGGAAATAACAATTTTTCAAAATAACATCGGGAAAAGAATAACTTTTTAAAATAATGGACTGATTATTTTTACTTTCATTTTTACGACCAGCCATCACTGGGATTTGAACCCGGCTCACCGCAACAAGAAGTATTTATCATTTTTACTAGAATAGGGGTGATTGCTGGCCCAACTCAAAAATCCTGAAAATTTCTTGAGTAAAATCATTTAAAAAATTAATATCTTCATAGATTTAAATCATTGAAATTTTCAAAACATGATATTCTAAATGAATTATATGCAGCATAATTTGAATGAATAATTATGTGTAAGTTTACTTTCATCTCTAATCACTTTTATTATTATACCAGAAAAAATATTTATAAATGAAAGAGATGCCAGGTGTAAATTCTAGTTCTAATATGTTTTAATAAAATATACATGAATTTTTATATATAATAGGTTGATCGGTGATTTCTTGAAACTTCTGGACTTTGGATTTCCGGAAACTTTCAGATCACAATTACCGAGAAATCCGGAAATCGGGATTTTTTCCGGAGCACAATCACTCCTGCTAGAACATTTTATGAATTCTTCCCTTCAAAAGGAAAAAAAATATGAACGTAATGAGTAACAGGTATATTTTAAGTAGCAAATCAATACACAGTTACTGATTATTAATTATGTAAATCAATTATGTAAATATGATTAACTTTGGCATTTTCAGGCATAAATGCTTGTTTAAAAATGTGGCAGTTCTTAAAATTGCACAAACGAAGTAAATAATTATAAAAAAATAAGGAAATTATTTTTCAATAAATTAAGTTAAAATTTTATAAGTCTTGCACACTAATATAAAAAATAAAATTAAACACGTAAGTATTTTTCTGGAATAGATATATCTTTTGTCAACAAAGAACATTGGGGGGTCGAATCTGCATGTTTTACAGCAAAACAAATCAGTTATTAATGCAGAAAAGACATTTGTTTGCACTTTTTTTTTAATAACAAATTAAAATTCTCGGGATTATTGTAAAATATCTATATATATATTTCTCTTACACGGCGACAAAAAAAGCCTCATTACAACTCCCCGAATGGTAACGGTAGAAAATCGACCCATGATTGCCGATAAAAATGTCACATGCCAAATCTAGCTTAAGGTGGCTCAACATATAGCGCTTTTAAAAACGGAAACTGAAATAACCAGAGAGAGCGTAAGCTAGGCAGAAGTGAGTAGTCTTTGTCGATAGATCTCTATTTTAGTATTTTGTCGAAAGCGCTTTTTTTGACGAATTTATATATTACGAATTTATTTGACGATTTTTGATTTATATTACGAATTTATTTGTTTTACTAGAATTTATTTGTTTATGCAGGTTTTTCCATTGCAATTCACTTCGGCGAATGGGCCTATAGGCCTAGGCCGCTGTAAAATTTCCATTCACTTATTTCAATTTCTAATAGACTTAAATTATAGCCAAAATTTTAACCTTTTTAAAGAGATATCAGTTTTAGAAATTTTATCTCAAGATTTTATTTTATAGCACATTTCTAATAGGTTTAACGAATTACATGTCATTTATTTGAATTCAAATTTATTTTAATGACTTAGTATTTGCTAAAAAGATGCAATTTTTTTTAAAAAAAAAGTTGGTACATGGATTTGAATGATTGTTTTGAATTCTCAGAATTTTGTGCATTTGCAATGTACCTAAGTTAGTAGCGAGCGAAGCAAACCATATAAGATGGCGTAGCAATTTTTGGGGGTTGGCGAGCGTTAGCGAGAAGGGGGCGCAGCCCACTAGTTTAGATTAATTCTTCTCAACTTAAGTTGTGCAGTGCTTTATTTAAATTAGGTAAATGTTTCAGAACTAGTATTTTAAAATTTGTACTCTGCAAAAAAAAACAATTCTGAAGATTTTAAGAGCATGTTACCCTGAATGACAAAACTGGGTGGTTGTTGACTTCCTACTGTGAATGTTGACAATCACAGTTTCTTTGGTACATGTCCGAAATATAGACTAGGTCTAGTGAAGTGCCATTGCCCGGTATGCCCTACATCAATGTTTTTTTTAAAGATCAAGTGCTACTTCCCATGACGCAATTAATCAGTTCTCCGGACACTGATGTTTCTCTTAATCTATCCTCATCATATATTAACCCTTTAATGGGCCCTTTATTTCCAGTAAAGGTTTTTTTTAATTTCCAATGAACTGCACAATCGGTCTTGCCGATGAGGAGACCTAATGCGTTCTCCAGAGGTGGTATCCACTCTTTCAGGACCACCACAATGGGTGAGATACCGTTGGCCATGTTAATTTGGACGTCTAGTTTCTGCCACACTAGATGGCAGCACCGAGAGTCTATTTGGATGCTAAAGTGCACTAGGAATTTAATTTTACCGGAAATGCCAAGTGCCAATAAGGCACTTCAGGGATCTTTTACATACCGCATAATCATACGACATGGCCGCTGAGGATTTTCTGCATCCCTGGTAAAGGTAAATTAAAGTATTTTTGGAATTGAAATTGTTTTAAGAATAGTAATTGATATAAAAAAAACTCATTTAGTTTATAAAAATGCCATTGTTTTGGCTGTAAATATATTTAACATGATCTATTAGGAACTTACTGACTTTTATTTTTCTTTATTTGTAAAATAAATTCCATAAATGGTACAAACTTTAAAAGGAATTATGTATTTTATAACTTTTATACGTTTTTTAAAAGTGACAAATGGTTACCAATTTTATTCAAACTCACTTCAAGAAAGCTGAAGTTATTGAAAAATGGAAACCTAAATTAAAAGTGGTAAAACGTGGTGATAAGTATACTTACCACGGCCTTCAAAAGGGTTAAAATATCGAATAAATGTAATAAATTAATATCGAATCGGATATTTCGGACATTCACCAAAGCGACTATGTGATTGTCGACATTCTCTTGATTTCAGTAATTCACGGTAACGAGTACGGTTTTTTATGGAGCTTACCCGCATTTGCGTTACATGGAAAGGAAGACCGCGAGAACCTCCCACGGTTAGCCTGACGGCAAGGGGACCCATGATCCGTCTACCACTTAGGATATTTCACGTCAGCACTGTGGTCAACACAAGCCGGATGCGGAATTCGTATCGACTGGATTTCGAACCCGGTTCGCCTCATTGGAATCCCCTTGTAATATCTCAATATTTAATATAGGCTCGTTCGTTTTACGGGGTAGAATTCTAATAAAATTATCATATTCGATACACCTTTGAATATGGACTAGGTAAAATGTGACAAACTCTGGTGTTGTCCCAAGTGTTGGCTTCGTGGTACCAGACATTATCATAACTCTATCTGATAAATTAGGACAAAATTAACACTAAACATACCAACACTTAATCTATTTCTACCATAGCCGGTCAAATGACAACACTTTATGTTTCTTGATTGAATGGATGAAATATGGATGTTAGGAAGGAAAACAAAATTGTATATTGTTTTTCAATTTTTATGCATTACAAAGTAAAGAATAAGAATTTTTTATTCATTGCTCAAAACATTTTTTACATATACAGAGTGTTTCCGTTGCACATTTTCCACAAACATATTTCTTCTAATTATTGTTATTTCTATAATTCTCATAATTATAAGAATACATAAGAATTCTAATTCTTATAATTAATATTATTTCTTCTAAGAACTTATGCTGTCTTGATGGTTTCGACATTTTTTCTGGGTAAGAACTAACAGTTAGTTAGAAATGAAGTAAAGCTGTCAACATAAAATATAAGCTTCTTACCAAAACATTTAGTTTTTGTAGTTTTTTTCTGACACAAAAATGCCAATCTAAAATTTTAGGTACTTTCTTGAAATTTGAATTCACAGTTATTCTGATTGAACTCACTTCGAAACAGTCTTTGCTGAATTGTGCAACTTGCAACTTGTGCAAATTTGCAAAAACGATAAGCGCATTTTCGATGCAAAAGTTCATAAACGATCATTTGGTCATTGGTATATTTAGTGTTGAATGACTATTTTTGAATTGCATTATCCTTCTAAACTTGACAGGAAGAAATTTTTTTTTATTTATTTTCATTTTTATTTTAGGAGATGTCAGAACGGCATGAACCACAGATTTTGAAGCCATGAAAAACAAATACGACATTTCATTCCAGTGAAAAAGTTCGTTAAGCTGTTTTCTTAATCACCGTTCTTCATCTTCGACTCTAAAACAAATTTCTACGAAATCCTTTTTCTTCCTTTTTTTTTTAAATTAACAACCTTGGAATTTTAAAATAGAATACTCTTATGACACTTTCCGCTGTTCTAAAACATTTCAATCTATGTGAACTACAAAGTATAAATTGCATGGATTTCATTCGTTTTTATCGAAATTTCACAGAAAAGGATTAACCTTGGAAAAATACAACATTCAATACGCAGATCGAAAACCCAAAAGAAAATTTAAAAAAAATCTAACTTCTTAGATATGACATTCCATAAAAAATTTGGAATTAAAAAAAAATATGGCGAAAAGTTCAACTTCTCCGAAAAGGTCAGACGATAAGAAAAAAAAATGTAATGAGAGGACAAATCAGAGCGTGACTAGCACAAAGTCTCTCTCCTCCAAACTGGGTGTAAACTTGAAGCTCAGACAGTTAGTCATGTATGCATATGAAAACAAAAGGAACATTTTTTCTGATAATAGAATTGAAGAGAACTAAAAATAAATGGACGAACTTGGATAAAGATCATAACACCAGTGTTCTACTTCAACAACTTCCACGAAAACTAATGGCTTATTTTGAAATAAAAGTTAATG